TCCAACATATCTAAATTTGTCTTCGTATATGTATACCGTTCTGCTCTTATATATGTGTGTTTAAGACATGTTTGCTGATTATGTAGAAGTTTAGAGCACCAGTTGCCGGAATCCAGGCTCCGCCGCCGCATCACATGGTGTACAATTACAAATCAGATCTTGGTTTTGGTGGTACTCGTCCTGTTGTGGACTTACATCCGGTAATTAAGATTCTAGTAAATAATGGATATTGATTGTTGCCAAGATTGGCTTTTCATAATTTGCTAATTTTATAATCATGTTTGTGTATATATAGTCAAAAGAGAGCGTAGATGCAGCCATAGGAGATGTATTGACGAGGCCATGGCTCCCACTGCCGTTGGGATTGAAGCCACCGGCTGTTGACGGCGTCATGACGGAGCTTCAACGTCACGGTATTTCCGAGGTTCCTCCGGCTGCGTCGTGTGCCTGAAGCAGACAAGCACGTGATCAAGCCGAACCCAAAAAAATTCGACGACATGTCTTTCGATTCTAGTATCTTTTTTTTTCCCAAGGGTTGTTTTTGTTGTGGCCCTTGTTGAGCGTTGAGAGCTTCGGGTGTCTTTCTTGAGCGTCACATAACTAATAAAGAGACCTTTTCATATATGTATGTACACTCTCTATAACGCAAATAAATGACATATAACTAATAATGAGACCTTTTTTTTTTTTTTTTGACAACATAATGAGACCTTTTCATATAACTAATAATGAGACCTTTTCATCCTCTCTAGCCGTCTAATAGTTGTATTCTCGTCTAGAATTTCCTAAATATATGAAAAAACTGTTAAGAAAGCATCAACTAAAACAAAAAAAAATGTAACGAAAGAAAACATCAAACTTCTAAAGCAAGAAAAACTAGAAGGTCAAAATGGCCTGTTTCCTTTTAAGTGATTTTGAAGTAGAACAATTAATTTGTTATCCAAATAATACGTAATTAGAGCTTGATCCACTCGTCCGAACGGGTGTTTATTTTTACTAATTTATATTTTATTTATATATTATATAAATTAACTATTTATATTTTAAAATTTATATGAATACAAATTCATATATATATTTTGATCATGGTTTTTGATCTATGTATGAATTAACATTTGTAGAGTATAAAAATGTAAGAATCATTATTTTGAGCATGATTTTTAACTCGTATATTTTTATCATATTTCTGACCAAAGATACCAAAGATATATTTTCTTTAAGTATAGCATAAAAAGTAAGATTATAAATACATGTATTGTATATGCTAAACCAAAGATACATTAAATTTGTTCTAGAATTTTATTTATAGATAAACTAAATTATAGAAAATATTTATTTTACATAAACGTTAGGGGGAATGATCATAGAGACAAATGTAACTTATATTATTACATAATAGTTAATCTATCTTATTAATATGCATTAATGTTAATAGTATTGATATGATATTTTTCAAAACAAATATAGCTATGCAATATATAAATTTAATTTAGGAAATATTTTACTAATTTTTAAAAAGATATAGAAGACATAAAGTTAGGAGTATACTATGTAAAATAATATGATCTTTGTTGCCAATAAACAAATAAAAGAATCAAAATAGTAATAGTAATTATTATTCGAACCCAACATAATCTACAAACCCATTAAAACAAAAATGAATACTCAGTGCAAATTGAAATATATAATATGCAAATATGATCTCAAAATTCTATAATAATGTTTTTTCTAACTGGGAGGAGTTTCCGTAGACTCTAATCTCTCACTCGATAATCATATCAGTAAGCTTTCTCATTGGAAGAATTAAACCAAAGACAACTTCAATTGATATTAGAATGTGCAAAAGTCTAGGACGAGAAACAAAAGAAAAACGGAAGATTAATTCTGACCTGACGCTCTGTATTAGTCCTGGGATATGCCTGAACCGAACCGGTGCTTAGGGAGATCGGTTATTGTCTGGTTAATGGAGAGGAACCGATCGGCAAAGCTTTTAAAATAAATCGGTTTTGTCATTGGTTCGGTTTGGTTCTCTATAACCGAATGGATAACCAAAAATTTAACCTAACAATATATGCCTAATCTAAAACAGAATAACCTAAGTGTCGACAAATCTAAAATTAAACGGCGTAACCTAATCGCCTCTCCTAATCTCTCTTCCTCAAATACGATCTCTGATCGAGCTTTGTCTGATTCTCCGTCCAGACCATCTTCTCTGCTTCTTTATATCATCTCGAGTATAAGGTGACAAGGTTAGTTCTCATGTCTTCTCTTCTCTCTGAGTTTCTGTGTAAATCGATTTAGAGATTGTGATTTTGTGTGGTAATCGAATGGGGGTTTTAGATGTTAAGGTTTGTGTCGATTAATGAGTCAATTATCACTCCTTGTCTTTATCTGTTTGAGTTAGTACTGATTTTAGATGCTAGGGTTTTTCATTTTTTTTTGTTTTGAAAAATTGGGGATTAGTGTTACATAGTCATATTGTGTTAATATGAAATTTCCAGTGACTTTTGAATAATATTGTTGGATTTTTAAATAATATTGTTGTGAATTTCAGTTATATTAGTTAGTTTGGTCTGCTATGTTTGGTTAGTTTTGTTACCTTTGTATCTATGTTTTGTGTGATCTAAATTTCTAAAATGTTTATCTTGTGATCGCAGATGTCAGCTTGTGAAGATAACCATGAGTTATTTGGAGAAGACATTGAACATATGTCAATCAAGGAGGTGGAAAGAAACGATCTGCTTCGGAGAGGTCAAGCACTGATCTGCCTCCTGCTGCAAAGAAAAAGCAAGACCACCGAACAGACGTCTGACAAAATTTCATTCACAGTGAAGATGATCGATGATCCAAGCATCAGCAACTGCCGTTACTGTGGCCAAGCGATTGGATGTGACTCCAATAAGAGTGGGACATGTGCGATGAAGAATCACATTGGTCGATGTAAGATGTTCCAAGTCTACAACGAATCTGGAAAACAGCAGGTGTTAAGTGGAGATAGTAGTGGTGTTTTGACAACCGTGAAGTATGATGCTACTTTGTTCAGGAGATCAGTGAACGAGATGACAGTGCTGAATGAGGAGCCATTCTCTTTTGTCGAGTCTGAAGGGTTTAGGAGGTTCTGTCACAAAGGTGACACTATTTCTGAGAATTTGAGTTTATGTATTTCTGATTGGGGTATAGATAAGGTCTTCACGGTGACAGTAGACAATGCTAAGGCAAACGATAAGGCTCTATGACTGTTTGGAGAAACCTGTAGGGGGATAGGCTCGAATGCATTAGTTAAGGATGGTTCATTGATGCATATGCGTTGCTGTGCACATATTCTTAACTTGATCGTTAGAGATGGGTTATCTGAGGTCAAAGAGAGTATAGCTATTAGAAACGCGGTGAAGTATGTGAGATCATCGGGTACAAGGTTGCAGTCGTTTCAGTTGAGGGTGCTGACAGAAAAGGTTAGTAGAGGGAGCTTATCTTTGGACTTTATAAATCATTAGAACTCCACCTATCTCATGCTGTCTGCTGCTTTGAAGTTCAAGGTTGCATTTGAGAAGCTCAAAGCCGAAGACATGCTGTATAATGATTATTTTATGGAGTTAGAGCAGAATGGACAGACACGGATTGGACCCTCTACTTCAGAAGGGTGGGAAGAGGTGCAGAGGTTAGTGAAGTTTCTGAAAATCTTCTTTGGTTGCACCTTGGCGTTCTCAGCATCCAAGACAGTCACATCTACCATTTGTTACAATGAGATTGTGATAATTGAGAGGAACTTGATTGCACTGAGAAATAGCAGGGATGGGGTTCTAGATATTCAAGCAAGGGAGATGAGAAACAAGTTTGAGAAGTACTGGGATGGAATTTTCAATATGAACCCGCTGGTCATCATTGCAAGTGTGTTCGATCCAAGGAACAAGATGCAGTTTGCTTCTATCTGTTTTGATAAGCTCTATGGTAAGGATAATGTGGAGAGTGCTCATCTGAGAACCTCAATAAGAGCACTGATGAAATCAATGTATGAGGAGTATGTGAGCAAGCTTGTCCCTCAATCGCAAGGTGATAGTCAGAACAACAGTATTGTTTCGGGGGAAGGTGAAGTTGGAAACCTGTTTGATATTTCTGATGATGATGATGAGGACTATGAGAGCAGAGATTCTTTGTATTTGGAGATGGTTTCAGAGGCAGCATATGAAGAATCCAGTAGTGAGCTTGACATTTACTTGATGGAAAAACCAATACCAAGAAGAACAAACAATCTCGGATTAGACACCAATGTGTTATCTTGGTGGAAGAAGAACTCTTGTAAGTTTCCAGTCTTTTCTGAACTAGCAAAGGATGTGCTAGCCATCCAAGTCTCCTCTGATGCTTCCGAGTCAGCGTTCAATACGAGTGGTAGGAGTTTAGATCCTTTTCGGAGCTGTCTGACTCCATACATGATTGAAGCTCTTGTCTACTTACAACAGTGGCTTCGAAACAACATCCAGGCAGATAAGCTTTCAAGCTTGGTTCAGATGTTTGAAGAACTGGATTTTCATGAATCATTAGGTAATCATCTTAATTCTTAACTATTTTCCTTATATTTTTAATGCTCAGAGTCCTAAGTTCTAACTGCATTTGATATTATGTAGAGTCTTTGAAAATTTCTGGTGAATCTGATCATTAGAGGTAATCTGTAACTCTCTCTGATTTGTATTGTTTCTTGTCTATCTCTCTTATCGGTTATTACATGTCTTCTTCTTTATGAACCTGTTACTTGTAGGTTGGAGTCGCTTGGAACTAGGAAGATTCAAAACCAACTTATCTATCTCTCTATTTTGGACGACATCCTTTTGAACTTCATGAATCTATATATCTTTCAAACTTTGATCTTTGATCTTTAGAAAAGAGATAGAGATTCAGATTGTTGTCTTTTTTGTGTGTTTTCATGTTTGAGAGTGATCTCTTTTGGATGTTTAAACTTGGTTATAAGTTGGTTTTGAGGTTCTTTGTTTTTTTTTTTGTTGTTGATTTCTTGGTTTAATTGATTTGGCAGGTGAAAACAGAGCCATAACCGTGTAAACCGGAGATAACTGATACCTGAGATGAACCGATAATACCCGAAATAACCGATTGAACCGTCTTTTTTTTTTAAATATCTTTTCAATTTTTCTCGGAATTTAATCAAATTTAATAAATAACCGATACCCGAACCGAACCAAATCGAATTTAAATTCGGTTTTCTTCGGAAATGGATTCCGAAATTCCGGATAACCGATAACCGAAAAATTGGTACGGTTCGGTTTCAGAAAACCGAAGTCACAGGCCTACTTTGTATACTCTTAGAATATGTGAAAAGTATAGAACGAGAAACAAAAGAAAAACGGAAGATTAATTCTGACCTGACGCTCTGTATACTCTTACGTAATCTCTCCAGCTAAATTCCTGACATATTAATATATTATTTGTGACCCCATGATC